ATGGAGCTTCAATTGAACCTCACTTACCCAGGGGGCCCTTCCCCGCAGCTTTCGCTTTTAGCTCCTCGAGTTTCTTCTGCTCTTCTTTTTGTTTCTGCTTGAAAGCTTTATCTTCCTAGGGAGAGGCAGAAAAGGTTCATTCAAAGGTGGCACCCCAGTCCCTCCGCGCCCCCCGCGCCTTAGCGCCCGCCCTCACCTCGTCCATTTCCTTGGTCTGCTTCTTGGGTTGTTTTAGGGGCTTCTTCTTGCCACCTGTAGGCGACACAAGCACGCTCAGCCCGGCCACGCCGCCCGCCCCGCGCACTCACGCTCAGTCCGTCCCCGCCGGATCCCATCCGGCCCCACTGCCTCCGCGAACTCACCTTCGCGGCCCGACATGGCGCCTGCAGCCCCTTCCCCAAACCTGCCACGGAAAGCAGAGCTTCCAACCCCACCTCCCTTGTGCCTATACTCCCACGCTGGTCCGCTGATTGGCTGCTAGTCAGGAAATTGCCCTCCCGCTGCCGGAAGCGGCCCAACTGGGGCGGGAGGTAAGGGGTTAGAGGTTAGCCGGGTGGCTGACGCCAGGTTTGGTTTGGATTGCGATTCAGGTGCAGTAAATACGTCAAGAGTGAGCCGAGGGGCAGGGTCATCCAGCCCGGGGAGGGTCTGGAACTTCGAGAAGGGGATCTAGCTGGAAGGCGCCAGGCGTGTGACTGGGCACGGGAAGAGCACTGCAGGTAGAGGGAAGGGCACGCGAGAAGGCCTTGAGGCAGGAACGAGCTCGGCGAGTTCCGGAAACCAAGAGAAGCGCAGCTTGGATGGAGGGAGGTGGGGAGGAGGTGTGCAGAAGTGGGCAGGGACTGGATCACCTGGACCAGGAGCTTTGCAGACCACCTGAAGGAGTTTGGGTTTTATAATACGTCAGGGATGAATTTCTTTTTTATTCATCTTGTACATATTTAGAGTATTACGTGCAGATAGTATTCTAGGTACTGGGGATACGGCAGTGAACAATGCAAAGTTTGTCAGCTGGTAGAACTGACATCTTAGTGGATAAGACAGACAACAAACAAAGTAAATAAGTAAAATACATATCGCAGGTTATGCCATACATGGAGAGAAAAATGCAGGGAAAGGAGATAAAGAGTGCTGGGGTCGGGGTTGGATGGCGATTTCTGACAGAGTGGTCAGGGAAGGCCTCCTCAGGAGGTGACATTTGAGGGAGGTGACATCAGGAGGGAGCAAGCAGTGTGAAGGCCCTGAGGGAGGCTAGCCTACTGTGCTCTAGCAGCAACAAGAAGGTCCATGTGGTTGGGGAGAAGTGAGGAAAGGGGAACTAGTGAGACATGAGGTCAGAGATCAGTAGGAACTAGGGAGTGGATGTCCTGTAGGCCATGGAAATGACTTTGCTTCTCACTTTGAGAGAAATGGGGAACCATTACAGCGTTTAAGCAGAGAGAGACATGATCTGATCGGTATTTTGAAAGGACCACTGGCTGCTGTGTTGGGAATAGACTGTAGAGGTGAGAGTAGAGGGAATGTCAGGAGGCTCTTGTGATAATCCAGGGGAGAGATGTTGGTGGTTGGGACCAGGTGATAGCACTGACAGGGATAAGAGGAGGAGGGATCCAGGATATAGAACCAAAAAACAAACCCACTGCCATCGAGTTGACTCTGACTCATACAGACTCTATAGGACAGAGTAGAACTGTCCAGAGGGTTTCCAAGGGTATCCATCTTTATGGAAACAGACTGCATCATCTTTCTCCCACTGAGTGGGTGGTGGTTGATCCACTGATCTTTTGGGCCAATGTACCACTAGAGTTCCTAGGATATAGAAGGTCAGTGGCATTTGCTGATGGATCAGACATGAGGTGGGAGAAAGAAATGAGTCAGGAATGTTGAGAGGTTTTTCACTGAGCATTTGCACTTGGAGTTGCTATCAGCTGAAATGGAAAAGGATGTGGAGGAAGCAGGAAAGTGAGGAGCTCAGTGTTACCTCTATCAAGTTTGAAATCCCCATTAGCCATCCAAGCAAAGATGTGAATTGTCAGTTGAGTAATTGAGCCTGGGGTCTTGGGGAGACTAGGCTGGAGAAGTCTGAGTGTAGTTTTTTTTTTTTTTTTTTTAAATAGTTTTATTGTGATATAAGGAGCTCTGTGGTGTAGTGGTTAAGGCATTTGGCTGCTAACCAAAATGTCAGTGGTTCAAATCCACCAGCTTGCTCCATGGCAGGAAGATGAGGCAGTCTGCTTCCGTAAAGATATACAGCCTTGGAAACCCTATGGGGTTCGTTATGAGTCAGAATTTACTGGATGGCATTCAGTTTTTATTGAGAGATAATTTACACATGCAGTTCACCTGTTTAGACTGTACAAGTCAGTGGTTTTTTGCTTTTTTTTTTGTGTGTGTGTGTGTCCACAGAGTTGTGCAACCATTACCAGTTAATTTTAGAACATTTTCACAGATGGTTTGTAAAGCTATGGCATTGGGTGAGATGACTAAGGGAAAAGAACAGAGTCGGTGGTCTACAATGTTCAGAGGTCAGGGAGATGGGGGGACTGGAAACCAAGTGATTCAAGGGAGTGACCCTGAGGCATAGGCTACTGATAGGAAGTGAGATGAGGACTGGGAACTGATCATTGGATTTCTCAGTGTGGAGATGACCTGGAGAAGAGCAGTGCCAGGGGCATGGTGGGAGTAAAGGCCAGATAAGAGGGCTTAAGAAAATGGAAGTAGAGGGACTGGAGACAGTGAGTATAGACAATCTGCTGAGGAGTTTGGCTGTAAAGAGAAGCAGAGAAATGGGGTGGTTGTTGGAGAGGGGTATCAGATCAATTACTGAGCAATGTCTGTGAAGAAGGGAAAGGACATAGGATGGATGGAGAGTTGGCCTTCCCAAGGAGCATGGAGTTTCATCTTAAGGAACAAGAGAGAAGGCAGAGGGAATGAATGGGGGCAATACTGACAGTGGAAAGATCTGGTGGGAATTTGTGGATGTTCTCTTCTAATATTTTATATTTTCTTGGTAAAAATGAAGCAAGCCCTCAGCTGCAAGTGAGGATGAAGTATAGATGATGGAGGTTTGAGGAGACAGCAGTTGGTAAGAGACAGCCATTGGAGGGACATGATTCTGAACATGGCCCTCAGGCCCCTGCTTGATTTGTTCTCTGTCCCTGGTTGGAATTATCTTCCTGGGGTCAAGAGAGTCAGGGCTGGGGAGGAGGAGGTGGGAAAGGAGGCTGAGGTGGTCAGAGAAAGCATAGAGGGGGCAGAGTTTCAGAAAGAGTGTTAAGAGCTGTAGAGATCAAGGCAGAAACCTGAGAAGCACCTGCTGGATCTGACAAGGTCCAGGTCTTGAGGGGCCTCTGGGAGAGTACCATCTGTGGTGGAGTGGGGAGGAAGTGAGGATGGAGTTAGATCAAGGAACAAGGGGGTAAGGAAGTGATGACTGCCAAGGTGGACACTTCTGCTGAGCTTTGCTGGGAAGGACAGTGGATACTGTGGCCATAGGGGTGCATACAGTGTTTTGCTTTGATGAGGGGTATTCCTACAGGGTTATTGTGTGGTCATAGCCTGTGGGCAGTGGGCTCTGGTGTTGAGGCCTGGGAGGCTTCCCTAACTCCTGGTCATAGATGATGTGTGCCCCACTAAGCAGTGGTCCCCAGTCTTATGAATGGGGTCAGGGGTCCACATGTGGCACCAGCTCAGAACCATTGTCACGGGGTGTCCCATCCATGGCTCTCAGCTCCAACCCACTTTGGCCAGGAGGCATGCCCTACTCACCTGGCTTTACTTTCAGAGGTCATAGCTTCTCTAAAGCAGCTCCCAGAACAGCATGAAGGGAAGGAGGCTGGGGTGCTCTTGTCTTACCTCAGAAAGCCTCTTCTGTTTTGTAACTAGGGTTTCTTGGGTCTGCCTTCCTGTCTGCCCCGGCTTCCGCTTTTCTCTCTAGCTGGGTTGGTCAGCCACCAGGTGGCGCTCTGACAGCGGGAGTCAGTACTTGGTGGCCCTTGAGATATGGTTTGGTCAGAGGAGGGTGCTCCTGGCCCAGTTTTGCCAGGATTGATGGGTCACCTGGCCCCCATTTTGGGGTCTTCAGAGTGGCTGCTGTTCTGGGGCTTGGGCCAGGCCTGACTGTGGATAATGAGAGATGCCAGTGCAGTTCAGGTGTGGAGAAGTAGGCGTTGTTAGGACCCAAACATCAAAGGAGGGTTGAAAAGGGAAAGATTAAAGAAACCTAACCTGTTGAGCAGTGACTAAGATCAGGGAGGAGGGAGAAAGCTTAGAGAATGTGAGAAATGTGAGACTGGGAGTTGGTAGCCTGGGAAGTCTGGAGTTGGAGGACAGAAGGAGAAGCATTTGTCTGAAGCAAAGAAAAATTGCCCTCTGTGAAGATAATGTGTTTTTCCTGGAATTGTCCCTTGACAAGAGCTGGGAGTTCTCTGCTTTGGGACATGAGTGGCCTATGCCCTCCTGTGTGAGAGAGACTCTGCTTCCCCATTGCTGAGGCAGCCCTTAGGGAGTCTGGGAAGTTGTTCCCCCCCCCCCCCCCCCCCAGAAAAAACACTGGAAATCCCCTTTGTTCCTCAGCTTTCTCAGGAGTCTTTTGAATCTTTGTGGGAACTTTGTTAGCATAGGCACAACTTAGAGTTGAGAATTTTCTCTTGATATTGTCAGAAAACTGGGCACCAGGATTCATTCAAGCCCCAACAAGAGACCTGGGGAATGCAGGGAGCAAGTGGGATGGGAAAGTCTGCTTTGTGTGGCCTCATGGTGAAGGCATTATTTTCTAATTACATCTTTCCTCAAATGTGTTCCTTTCTCCAGGAGCACCTGGGGGCAAACCTGACTGTCCTCCTGCTGTGGGGGGTACAATCTCTAGGTCAACCAAGTAGAACTCAGTTGGGATGTTCTTAGTGGAAATTAGTTGGTTCAGAACTGTCCCTAGCTTCATGCCTGCAGCCCTTTCTCAGCAACTAGCTGATCTGTCTGGCATCCCCCTCACAGATCTCCTGATGAGAGGGCGCAACTCTGTGTTTGCTCTGCGGCACATCGTGGATATGTCCCACGTACTGGTGCGGAGAGGCCTCCTTGGAAGGGACCTCTTTATGACCAGGACTCTCTGCAGCCCAGGCCCCAGCCAGCCCAGAGAGAAAAGATCTGAGGAGGCGGCCCTTGGACTGTATCACCGGCTCATAGTGCTGGGAAGAGCCCTGGGATACAGCATTCAGCGACATGTGTCCTCCACAGCCAAGGCTTGGTGGGACAGATATGAAGAATTTGTCGGACTCAATGAAGTTCGAGAGGCCCAGGGAAACGTGACTGAGGTGAGGAGGGGAATAGGGTGGTTGGCCCTGGTTTTTGACTTGGGAAATGCTGCCTGGAGGCTCCTGCCAAGCAAGTCACCAGCCTTGTGGGGCTGGGAAGCCATATCCAGACTTGCCTTTTCTTGAACAAATACCACTAGTAGAGGCATCCGACTCATTTCTCACATGGAAACCTGGGCTTGATACTAATAGGGTGAAGGCTTTGGGTGTAACTGTAACCCTCCACCCTCCCTGAAGGCAGTTGTGGTCTGATAAATTCCTAACCATTGATACCCATTCTGTTAGGCCAGCAAATACTTCCTTCATTAACTATCTGGAGTATGATGGTGAGTTACTCAGGGGCTTGCTGCCCTCAGAGCCTATGTGTAATTGAAACCTGTGAAAGTAGAGGCCATACCTTGAGGGGGACAGAGTTGTCACGTCCTTTATGGCAGCAGAATGCATCCTATTATCACCGTTTTCACTCCTGCATAGGTGTGTGGACCAGTATAGTGAGATGGGAAGAGCCTGGGCTTCAGTGGAAGCTTTGAGGCATAGTGCCATCTCTTCCTTCGGAGACTGACAGAGCCTGGCCAAGCCCAAATTTCCAAGTCCTTAAAATAGACACCAAGGCAATGCCTCTCATGGTATTTTGAGGGGTAAATAAGGTAGTACAGGAAAAAGCACAAGCACTTAAGTTCCTTGCTGTGGTTTGTGTCACACAGGAGCTGACTGTATTTGTGTACACACGTTGTATGCGTTGTTAGCTATTTTCCAGTGTCTCAGGGGCACATTCTTGAATGGATAAATCCTGTGATTCTGATGGGTGTGGCTTGAGGATGCACTTTGAGCACCACTTGGGGAGCCAGGATTAGCATCTGGGATTGTGTTTCCTCCTTTTACAGCTAACATCCCATGGGTCCCTTAACCACAGCCTTGTTGAGGATAGAGCTGAGCCTGTGTTGGTGTGGGGAGAAGGGGCAGATGGCCTCTGTTCTCTTTACAGGCAGAGAAAGTGTTCATGGTGGCTCGTGGGCTTGTCCGGGAGGCTCGCGGGGACTTGGAAGTTCAGCAGGCCAAGCTGAAGGAAGTGAGGGACCGCTTGGATCGTGTCTCCAGGGACGACAGCCAGTATCTGGAGCTGGCTACTCTGGAGCACAGGATGCTGCAGGTGGGCACCTCTGAGGGTAGCCCTTCCCATCAGAAGGGTCATGGAAGGGTGAAGTGGGAACTCTGACTGGTTTGTTGGGTGGAGACCTGGTGAAGAGGTGAACCAGAAGCTCCTGAAGGATAGGACCCCAGATTTCCTGGAGCACTAGGACCAACAGTCCAGAGCAATATAGTCCAGGACCCAGATTGTGAGACGTGAGCACCAAAGATAGACACATTCTGTAGATACCAGTGCATGTCTGGTCAAACCCAGGATGGCTCAGGTGGGAGGTTAGTGTAGGTCACCTAGACTATTCCTGTTCTTTTGCTCCCCCCACCTGACCAGGTTTATGCTACCATCATCCTGTCCTCATGTATTCATGGAGCATGTACTCTGCCAGGTGTGAAGCTAAGCCCCAGGGACATCGTAGTGGGGCAGCTGCTTGTGACTACAGCTGTAGGGCCACGCTGCTGCTGTATAACACAGCTTTGCTTCTGCAGGAAGAGAAGAGACTTCGTACTACCTACCTGCGTGCAGAAGACTCTGAGCGAGAGAAGTTCTCCCTCTTCTCTGCAGCTGTGCGGGAAAGTCATGAGAAGGAGCGCACTCGGGCTGAGAGGACCAAGAACTGGTCCCTCATTGGGTCAGTCCTGGGGGCTCTGATTGGTGTGGCTGGTTCTACCTATGTAAACCGCATACGGCTACAGGAGCTGAAGGCCTTACTCCTGGAGGCACAGAAGGGGCCTATGAGCCTCCAGGAGGCCATCCGGGAGCAGGCATCCAGCTACTCCCTCCAGCAGAGGGACCTCCAAGACCTCATGGTGGACCTGAGGGGCCTGGTGCATGCTGGGCTCGGGGAGGGCTCTGGGTCTCAGACAGGTACTTCCCTTACCCGAGTCAAAGACACAGATGTCCTTTTAGCTGCCTTGAAAGAGCAGCTCAGCCATTCCAGGCAGGTCCATTCATGTCTCGAGGGTTTACGAGAGCAGCTTGATGGCCTGGAAAAGACTTTCAGCCAAATGGCTGGCGTGGTTCAGCTTGCAAAGGCTGCAGCACACTCAGGCCTGGTTGATCAGGCAGACCAGGCTCCACCCAGCTCCTTGCTGGAGCATGGGAGCATGATCTTGGCGCTGTCGGACATGGAGCAGAGGCTAGAAGCCCAGGTGAACAGGAACACTGTCTACAGCACGCTGGTTACTTGTGTGATGTTTGTGGTCACGCTGCCTGTGCTTTACATGGTTTTCAGGACCAATTAAAGAATTTTTTAGTTTGTATTATTTAAAGGAATTTATATCAGACTGAATTTTGTCCATTGAAAGTTGGGGTCTGTGACTCATGGGTTGGGCCAAGAGTACTCTCCCCTCCTTTAGTTCCTCTCTCATCTCTCTTGGTCCTCTCCTCTTTAGGACTGTTTTTTTTTTTTTTTTAAATGTAATCACTCCTTGGCTTGGGCTTTTGTTTTACATTCCTGGCCTGACCTTCCTGTGTCAGATGTTTTGGGGGTTCTAGTGAGGGGAACCTAGCCTGCTGCCCACCTCCTGGTGACCATGGCCAAGGATGGATTAACTAGTAAGCAAGGTATGCATAGGCTTACATGTGTCTACTTACTAATCTGCAGTGCACATTTTCACGTGGGTTTCACTTAGTAAGATTAGAAGGTAAACACAAGTAAGTCCGTGTGTACCTTGCTAATTGGGTAGTCCATCCCTGATTATGTCGCCTCTTCTGGGTCATTGTCTCTCTTACTTGGGGTTCTAATGCTGGAGGAAAGAGCCCTGGTGGCACAGTGGTCAAGTGCTTGGCTTAAGGTCGGCAAGTTCAAACCCATTTACTGTTCCACGGGAGAAAGATGAGGCAGTCAACTTCCATAAAGATCACACTCTTGGAAACCCTTGAGGGCAGTTCTACTCTGTTCTGTAGGGTCGCTGTGAGTCGGAATAGACTGGACAGCAATGGTTTTTTAATGCTGGAGAAATGATCAGAGAGGAGAGAACAGATGAGATGAGGCATGGGGGAAATGGTTGGTAAATAGTGCTTGGGAAATAATTATGGGGTGTAATGGTCAATCTGGGTCTGTGGGGCAGAGAGTGCTTTGTGCAGCACCTGTGTGCCACTGGAGTTGGAGGGTCTTCTCATGCATGGCTTAGGGCCTAGGGATGGCCCTGACAGCCCATCGGCAGGGAATGGACAGACGATGGGGAGGGGCCTCCTACAGGTGGGAGGTACAGTGGGGTATGGAGATGATGCCCTGAGAAACCCTGACCTTTCCCTTTTAACCGGGGAACATCGACCCTTGACCTCCTGGGCTAAATGGCCATAGGTGGGTGGCCTTGTGTGCCCTTGAGTAAACAGGAACAGGGGGAAGGTGCTCTGTACTCATGTATACTTTTGGGGCACAATGAGCTATGTACAAGGTGCCCTGAGGGAGTGTGCAGGGTCTGTGGATAGGGGCTCATGTACCTGAGTTTGAGCTAGAAATACTTTCCATGAGGTACCCTCCTCTACTGTGCTTAGGCTTGAGCAGTGACCAAGGTCCTAAAGGCCTCACAGTGTTTGTTCTGAACCTCTGAGTGCCTGGTCCCTTAGTCACTTGGCTCTTCATTCTTGGTAATGTTTTCTTTATATCGCTGTAGGCTGTGGGGTTTAGAACTTCCAGGTTCCCCTCTGGGGTGACATAGGTCCTGAAGGGTGCACACTTGTGTGAATGGATTTTTTTGGGGAGATTTTAGGTATGTGGAAGGGGTCTCTATAAGCTGCAGGGGCAGGAAAGCAGAGGTGGGTGATGACTGGTGGCCTTACTGACCTGGTTGAAATGATGGATGTGGGGGAGTTGTGGAGCATAAGGTTGGCAGGCACCAGGGATTTCTGAAGTCAGAGGCCAGTGGTGTGGAAATTGGGGAGGGAGCATGATGCTGATGCAGGTGACATACTGGGCACCAGGACGCAGGTGCTGGAAACGGGGCTGGAGAAAAAGGGGTGACTTGAGGGGTGAGGGAAGGAGAATTTGGAAGATCTAGAGCCTGGTACATGAGAGGATGAAAGGAGGCCCCTTGATAGGGGATGGGAGGTGGGAAGAGGGTACCTGTGGTGTTCTAGCAGTAGCCAGTGTGGATGATTGGAACCCCCTCCTAGTTGAGGCTTCCCCCTGCCCTTTGGATGGTGGATTTTGCCTCCCAATGGCCTTGAGCAAAAGTTCCAGAGAAGTCCTAACAGAATGGGCCAAGTACTGGCTCCTGAGTTTGTAGTGGGCAGGCCAGAATGTATAGGTCCACCGCAGAGGGCACAGCTTGGCCTTGAGAACTCTTTCACCCCTACCCAGCGTTCCCTCCTGCAAGGCCCAGGTATTTGCCAGTGAGGGAGTCCAGGCTTGCCCAAGGATCCTCAGCTTGGGGTGGGTCCAAGGCCACTTTTGGGGAAAGGACCAGGTTGTCAGGGAGGAAAGGAAGGAAATGCTCCCTTGTTGTGCATCTCTGTGGCCTGTGTGCCCCCTTTAACAGCCTGGCTAGGAGTGGTATCACCCCCTTTTGCCAGTGAGCAAATAGGCTTGGGGGTCAGGTTACTTGGCTTAGTGATGGCGCAAACCCAGGCCCAACCCCAAAGCCTGGGCTCTTCCAGCACAGTCAGAGGTGGGGGCCGGAAGGAGGGGTTGGCTGCTGGGGAGTCTTGGGAGAAGGGGCAAGACTAGGTGCGGTGGGAAGAATCAAGGCACCTAGGAGTTGAGGCAAAGGAAGTTAGGAAGACGACTACAGGAGCCAGGTACTAGAAGGAAAAGAGGGAGCTTGGGGCGCTGGGCAGGGCGGGATGGTGGTGGCTGGTAAAGAGGCCAGGCAGGTGAGGGGCGCAAGTCTGACCTGGGACAGGTTGGGTGGGAAGAGGCTCGGACGCCCTCGCATTAGCACCTGGGGGTTGCGGAGTGCGACCCCCTCCCTCCTGCTGCTCGCAACCTCTAGAGCTTCCAAGTCCGGTTCTAGTGCAGCTCGCAGGTGAGGCCCGACGGGGGCGGGGCGGGGCTGCTCGCGCTCCAGGCTTCACCCCGCACCACCCACGCTGGGATCCGCGTTGCTACGGCTGCCACTGGCGCGCAGCCTGCCCCTCTCCCGGCGAGGTAGGGGTTGCGCCCCCAGCCCTCGGCAAATGCGGATCCCGCGGGATTGGAATGCGGGGTCCCGGGCGGCTCGGGGCCGCGCGCCGGGCTGCTTCCGGCCTGGCTTGGGCGGCGGGGGAGGAGGGGGGAGGGCGGCCCGGCGGTCGCGGTGGGGGGGAAGGAGCGGAGCCGGCCGGGCCGACGCGGCTTTGTCTCCTTTGTTCCGGGCGGTGGCAGTGCCGCGGCGGGAGGGGCAGGCAGCGGGCGCAGTTTTCCGCCCCTCGGTCTCCGGGTAACAGCTGCGGCTACGCCGGACCCACCTCCTGGGGGTGGGGGGTGGGGGGCGGGCAGGCCGCCGTGCGCAGATCCCGAGAGCCCGGAGCAGCCGGCGCCTCCTTGACGCGCGCATCCTACGGGCCCGGCCGGGCGGTGAGTGCGGGGCCCGGGCTGCGGGCATCGAGGCGAAGTGGGCGCTCCCGAGGTCGAAGAGCCCGAGATCTCGAGCTCCTCCAGGCCGGGGCGGTCCTGGTGAGTAGTGGGCAGCTTAGGTCCTGAGAGTTGGGACCACACTTCTCTGCGCGAAGGGAAACTCTGGCGACTCCGCCTGTAACGCGATTGGGAGACAGAGGAGGTGGAGCTGCTCCTCCGCGCCCCCTCCTCGCCGCCGCGCGGGGGACCGGACAGCCCCTTCTCCGCCCTCTCAGGACCACTCGTGGAGTCCTTGCCCCGCCGCTTTGGGGAGAGGGAAAAGGTTCGGAGAATAACCAAATGGGGAGGTCGAGGCTTTCCCTTGTAGTACCAGCCCTTCCACCCTGGCTCCGCGGGGCTGACAAAGGCGGACCACGAGCCTCCTGCCGCGCACCCGCAGAGGGGACCACCCTCTCAGTGCACAGACACAGACGATGGGTGATTGATAAGCGCTCCCTGGGTCATCGTGGGCTCGTGGTGAATGGTGGATCACCCCATCTCACCTTAGTACACAGAACACGGCGGGTGGTGTGCACCATTGCACTGTCAATGAATAACTGGCCTCTTTAGTATAACCTGGGAGTGGAGTCGGAGGGCAAAAAGGAAAGGCCATTTTCCCACTAACTCTGGAGACATCGCAAACGTGGGCTGAAGTGTGGCCCCTCTATAGGTTTGGAAGTGCAGAGTTTGTTAGCCCCTTCAGTTGGTGAGGACAGTCCCAGGAGGGTCTGGGAGGTGCTTGCTCTTGGCCAACTAAGTTAGGTGGCTTTCAGCCCTGCTGAAGAGGTCCAGAGAAAGGTGGGCCCAGAAGAAACTGCAGGGCAGGCCTGGGCACAGGTGGAGTTGGACTTTGGCTATGAGCCTGGGCTGGGCCTGAGATCTGGGAAGTGGGCAGAGATCCTGGCTGTGCAGGTGAGGGACATGAGGCCTGGCTGCCAAAACAACCTTTTCAGTCTGCCCTGGGCCCAGTCACTAAGGAAAATGAGGTTGATGCCTTGCCCTTTGAGAGGTCAACTGGCTTGGTGAGGGGTATGGGCCTTGTATCTACTCTGAGCTGGGTTTTCTTGGCTGTGAAATGGGAGTTCTTTTAACATGTAAAAGGAGCTCTGGTGGCTCAGTGCCTAAGGCATTTGACTGCTAACCAGAAGGTTGGCAGTTCAAACCCACCAGCCACACTCTGTGGAAGGAAGACTGGGCAATCTACTTCTGTAAAGAAGTACTGCCTTGGAAACCCAAAGAGGGTCACCATGAGTTGGAATCACCTCGATGGCAGTGAGGTTTTTTTTTTTTTTTTGTTAACATGTAAGGAGCATCTTCTCTCTGCCAATTGTCTGTGCTTGTTGCTGGAGCCTGCAAATCAAAAGCTACACTCCTTGCCTTCAAGGGGCTTCAAGCTCAGAGTGGGAGGGTGGAACAGGGAGAAAAGTGGCTTCAGTTGCAGCCACTAGTGCCAGACACATACTGCATTAAATTTAAAGGTCACAGAAGCCCTGCCTCCCATTTCACAAATGGGAGCTCTGAAGCTCAGAGGGCTGGAGGCAGAGCTGTAGTACGTGCCACTGTGACGGCTGGTTCTGTCCACTCCATCCGCCACAGTGAGCTCCTTCGTCTGGAGACTGAGAGAAGGGACGGCTCCCCAGGAGAGGCTAGTAGGGTGCAGGGGTTAACGGGATGAAGAGGGAGTGGGCATTCCAGACAGTAGGA